CAGCGTGTGCTCACGGTAATTTTTGCAGCCAAATTTTAACGAATTATAGCCAATAACCGTAACCAAGACTGTAGAAATTACTTACGCAATAAATCAGAGACTTCCCAAGAGAGGATTGTACAAGGAATATGTCGGAAGAAAGGTCAACAACGTGCCAGGGGTTAATTTGCGCCCAAAAATTTTGCTTTTGCATGTACTCCCCCTTTTTCCCCCAGAGCGATAACCTGACTTGAGCTTGCGATTTAATCGAAAACCAGTACCAGATCAGCGTCACTTTCAGAAAAAAAAAACAAAACAAAACAAAACACGCGACCACGATAAGCACTAAACCTGAGCTCAAGATATGGTCACGTGATACTAGTCAGCGGATACCTTGTTTTGACAGCTGTCAATTAACCATAACATGGATCTTCAATATCAAATATGTACCTATGGTAATGGCGCTACTCCCTTATCTTTCAAGGTATGGGGCTTGGTGTACGGACAGTCACGTGACAACCAAACTTTTTTTAGATCGATCGGTATGGGGCTTCGCCCCGGCTCCTACGGCGCTCAGGAGTTCCTCTAAGAACCATTCAACCGTTAGAAAGCTAACGAAATGTTGGGATGTAACGCCGCCGCGATAGACTAGCTTCCTATCCAATAAGTAGTAGTAAAGCCGCTACAGGTCCCCGCCCTCATTATCGCTGTAACTTTTTACTTCTCGCTGGAGTCGATTTTCGCTCGCGCTCTAGTATCTCTGAAAAATATGAGGGGTCACTCATTGTCTACTACCTGTAGTGCTAAATATATGTTGTTTGCCGGCTTAGCGTCGGTTCGTATAGTGAAAAACTGAGGCCGAGGTCTTGAAAATACTTCCCCAGGCCGCAGCCGGGCCGACGGAGCAGTCACAATTTTCCACTATTCGGACCGACCCTAAGCCGGCAAATAACATATCTATTTTTTCCTACCATAAATTGGCTTACAAGTGGGTTTGTGTACGCAACTTTGTCATTGAATCGGCACTGTAATGGCACGTAATCCTGTGTTTTTCTCGCCACACGATTTGAAGCAAAAAAAAAAAAAGGCAATTGCAGTCGAGTTTGCCTCTTTGATCGTTGCTGTATTGAAGAGAATTTCTGTGGAATACACTTAACGAATTTCCTCGCTTTCTGCTACTCAATTTAGGGTAAAAAGTCTGATTTCGAGTAATTCGCAATGACTGATAGAATTTTTTTTGTAGTACAACTTCAAACTTTGCATGAAATTCGACACCGGGAAAACGATTTTGGAGAGCTTTACTGGTGAACTAGATGCAACTAACATAAAGTAATTCGAAATAAATTTGCTATTTAATACATCTTTCCTTGTCGAGTATCTGTGTAACTCGCTAGTTAGCTCGTAAATTTTTTGCGATGATTTGTACACGGCTGGCACGTAGGAAAATCCGGACCGCGCTAAGAATCGATCAGATTGCAGGATTCGTTACGCTGCCCTCTTAGGAAAAAATAAATGATCATACTAACTTTTCTTGCGGTCAAACTATTAAGTGCTAAAAAGACTAAATTGCAAGTAGACGATAATAGGGAACAAAGGGTAAGTTTTTACGCTTATGAGTTTTGAAAGTGCAAAAGTGAAAGTTTTGAAAGAACTCAATTAATTGACCTCGCTCCAAATGTGTGGCTTCATAGCTCAGTTGGTAGAGCATCGCACCGGTATCGCGGAGGTCACGGATTCGAATCCCGTTGAAGCCCTGATTTTTTTTNTACTGCGATGATCATACTTCACTTTCATCTACTACCGCAGTTCAATATGAATTATTTCATATATACTTCACTTATGAGTTTTTGTTTTGTTTTGTTTTGTTTTTTCACATCAACGGACGAAAATTCGAGGCTTATAATTTGGTTAACTCCCACCACCATAACTTGAATGTAACGTCCATATCCAAGCCTGTGTCTTATTTGATGTAATGTTTGATATAATACAAAATGTTCGCAACAACATTGTAGCAATTTACGAGAACAAAAACAAAATAACAATTAATGTTCTACTGCTTCTTACAATTGCTAAAGGAAGACGGTTAATACACTTACCAGGGTCTTTGTCTTCGTTTTCGCTCTGTTAAAGAAATAAATTAATAATATCAGTATGAACAAATGACACGCAAATTAATGCAGAAGCGATGACGTTTGACGATGACCTCTTAACTTTGAGACCGGAAATTGCAAAACAGAAACCGCTAAAAGACGTTTTTACTCGCCCAAATCAAGATGGCGGATCGCAAGGGAACGAATTGGTTCTCAGTTCAGCTCGATCAGATTCAGTGGTCAATCATGTTTAAAATCATTGTGCAAAGGAATTTTGCATATCAACATTAAGCGATGCTTATGGCGTCATGGCTTTAAAACGATTTCAGACAGCTTAGAAAAATGAAATAGCTCGTCTTNCTATGTTTTCGGGTGTAGAGAGGATATTCTCCATCGGGTCTAGCTTCCTCTTTCTCCCCGAATGCTCTTTAGTCATTCTTTGTTCTTGTGTATTGACTTCAGTACTTTTTTCCTTCATCTCAAGAAGCAAATTATTGCTACTTGATAATATAACACCGTTCGCTTTCAAAGGCGGCAACACACTGAGTTTGCGCAGGCACAATGCTATCTCACGTGAGCCCTCAGTGTGGTGACAGAGTAGAATCAAATTTCTTTGGCAAGGCTAGAAAATTCAAATTCTCGTCTTTTGCATATAGCTAGCCCCTAGCATGAGTGCAAACAGGCTGTAGTTTTTTCCTTGAAATAGCTTTGTCTTTCCAAGAAAAACAACATTTTCGATTTAACCTTCAGACTCAATTTCATGCAATTTAGCGATTCCCAACTGGGCTGAAAATCGGCTGAAAATCAACCATTCATTCAATTTTCATTTTGCAACCATTGAGCGCAGAAAAGTTGTGATACAAACAGCTTATTGCAGAACTATTCCTTGTCTAAAGAAGGACAATTTCAAGAATATTGGATTAATCTAATTATTTGACGGTAAACAAAACCAGAGTGTTCTCCAAAATTGAGTTAGTCGGTGAAAAGAATTGTCATTTCGACCATGTGTCATGTCTCAGAATTCCACAAGATTTTAGATTCTAACTATACTAGGATAGGTCTTTCAATACATGTAAAGTTTAGTTTGGGCAAATGATTAGCCACTCGTCAAAAAATTATTCAAAATCGTTCACAAAAGACACAAAATCACGCCAGCAGCTTCCGAGTGCGTGACCAAAAGTGTTATCATCGTATCAGCGTATTACTTCAGTTTGAAACGTCAGCATTACCAAGCAATATAAATGGCATACACATAATAATAGTATGTTCTCCTACCTCGGTTTGTAATATCCTGAATCTTGCAAACTGATTCTTTCACTGCATGTAATTTTCAGCGGCGTTCTTGTCAGTACTCATATCCGACTTTGAAGAAAACAGTTACTGCCAAGTCCCATGTATGTATCATCTATCTGTGTTATTTGTGTCGTTTGGTTAGGCCAGTAGTAGCTGCTAAAGCGTTATTCCACGTGCGACGTTCGGATTTCCATTTTGAAGACGTTTGAAAGTCCTCCACTTTGACTGAAGATGTGTTATCCGAGACCCGTGCGTTACAACATATTTTACATGGGGGTGAGGGTGGGGATTGCAGAGCTTTTAACAGAGTTATTTTTCTTTGTTTGAATTTAGAGCCACAAAGACCTGGTTCATGTGTAGCATTTTATTACTGTACCTAAGAAAGGAGGCCCTGAATTGGAACTAACATCGAGATATTGGAAAAATTCTAACGCCTTTTCTGTCGGAAATAATTACCACTTTACCCTTACCCTGTCTGCAAAGACTTTTGCTGGGCAATATGCAAATAAGAGATGCGGAGCCATCGAAGATAGCGGCTTATTTGTTATTGCTAATTACTGGGGATTTCTGCCTGATAGCAGGTTGAATGATTGTACCGAACAACAAAATGGAAAACGTAGGAACATTTGCGTAGGAACTTGGTAATATTGAGCGATTTGGGGAAATCAAAATCACCAGACGAATGCGTACAGGTAAGGCAAACCTAATGGAACACCGTTGAAATGGCACGATAGGAATGTTGTTTGACAGTCAAGACATGATAACCCAGCTAAGGTGAACATATATATGTTGGTTTATGCTTAAGTCGTGCTGATATTCCTGTGATATTTCGAATTGAAGTGATTTAACGACAAAAACAATGGTAGTACTTTTGGTCACGCCACTGCTGGCGTGATTTTAATCTTTTATTGTGTGTGATTTGAATAATGTTTTGACGAGTGCCTAATCATTTGCCCAAACTAAACTATACATAAATTGAAAGACCTATCCTAGTATAGTTAGAGTCTAAAATCTTTTGGAATTCCGAGACATGACACATGGTCAAAATGACAATTGTTTTCTCCGACTGACGAACTTATCGTGGGAGAACACTTTGGTTTTGTTTACCGCTGAATAGTAAGATAAATCCAATCTTCTTGAGACTGGGCTTTTTTGGACAAGGAATAGTTCTGCAATAAGCTGGTTGTATCACAACTTTGCTGTGCTCAATAGTTGCGAAATGCGAATCGAATGAAAATGGTCAATTTTCAGCCCAGTTACAACTCGTTAGATTGATGTCTGGACGTGAAACCTGTGATGTCCTTTTTCTCGGAAATACCAAAATATTTGAAGAAAAAAACTACATAGCGTTTTTACTGTTACTAAGATCTACTTATCTGCAACAGTAGGGCAAATTATATTTCTCAAGCCTTACCGAACTATCTTTGATTCTTGTGTACATTTGCTCTTAAGATTTTTCAAATAAGAAGGAATATTAAAAGACGGAAGCCATAAAGGTGCGACTGAGTAGCTACCGTAGCCATATATCAAGGCAATATTAGCATAGCAGGGCTATATTAGCGTAGCCATATATCAGGGCAAATATCATGATAACACCTGGCTAATAACAACGTAAAATCTGGTAACGAGAAAACTCACTGCGCTAGAGTCCTCTCCTTAAATGTCTTCCCTTCAAATTCTCTTGTGAGGTAGACCAATCTTTCTCAACAGCCTTGTTTAGTTCCCTGCGGAGAACTGAATGTTATTTGTTGCGTTGCCTCCTTTCAAAAAGACCTAACAATGAAACAATTGCGTACGATGTTGACAGTTTTTTTTTTTTTAATTTGAAAAGTCGCGTTTACATTATTGAAGCTTACGATCACTAGAAGCTTACGCTACAACTGCGGGGTAATTATCAGTGGTTGGTTGGTTGAGTTCAGTGATTTTCAAAGAAATGTCCGTTTCGGTTCAAAACTCGCCGAAATGGTTTATTTTCCCAGGCGATATCAGTGATTTTTTTCTTTCTTTGTTATCTTTTGAGAGATCTTAAAAACAATAATAATAATAATAATAATAATAATAATAATAATAATAATAATAATAACAACAATAACAATAACAATAATAATAATAATAATAAAATTATCCAACGTAGAGTCATGATACCACAAAGACAGCGCCGCGTCTCTTCCGCTCAACAAAGCTAGGCCCTGTTCGAGGAGGTTCCTGCTTGGTTGGGTGACTAAATATGAATACCCCGTATTGTAGTAACTTCCTTTTTTTTTTTCTTTTTTTTTTTTTTTCCCTTCCCTTTCAAAGGCGATATCAGTGACTGCTGAACTCCCAGTCTTGTGTAATGTCTTTTTTCTATTTATCATCTATTTTGTTCAAATCATTCCGCCATTTCCGTATTCATCTTTGAAGTATTTGTTTACAATACTGTATAAACAATAGCGAAACGCGTCGTTCCAATTCTCCTCAATTCTCTTGTCTGTTGATTGTCCGAAACTTTTAATCACGGCTTGAATCATAGTTTGAAAAAACATACAGCTCATCAATTTTGTAATTTTCAATATCTCCTCGGTTTTCGGCAATCGAGAACGGTTGTATAAGCGGACACCTTCGGGAAATGAGCTATTGATATAATTAGCTTTTATATATAAAAGCGTTCGTGCGAAAATCTATTTAATGTAGATCATTTCTGGGGTAAGATATTGAGTATTTCAAAGAATAACTAACTTGACACATGCAATTGACTGTAAAACGGCCTTGGACAGTGCGATGTTCGAAGCCCGGGGGACTCCTACACAAAAAGGTCGAGGATGATTCGGTTGCAAATCAAGGATTCTGGTCTCACTTAGGGTGTTGATGACGAAACGTCACCATTTTTAGCTGTCAAAGTATCTTTAGGGTGAACTCGAAGAAATAATAATAAAAGAATTGCTTTAATTTGTTTTCCGCTGATCTTTCGACTACGCGAGTTGGGTCTACAAGTGCTCGCGGGATCCTTTCTTGAACAGTGGCTAGTAATCGAACCTATTGTTTTAAGTGGTATCTTTTAGGGTCTAATGAAGCTCGAGCAACGCCCACGTTAGTCCTCTTTAGGAGTTAAATTCACACTTTCCGATGAGCATCCCTAACCTTCTCATATGGGAGTTCCGCCCGGGATTCCAAATGTCTAACAGGAAGCGAAGGAGCGAAGGAGCGAAGGAGCGAAGGAGCGAAGGAGCGAAGGAGCGAAGGAGCGAAGGAGCGAAGGAGCGAAGGAGCGAAGGAGCGAAGGAGCGAAGGAGCGAAAGAGTGAAGGAGTGATGGAGTGAAATCGTCCCACCACTACGACTTGAAAATTATAAACTTTCCAAGTTAAAAATGAATCCTTAGAACATAAAAATGCTTTTTCTTAAAAAAAAAATTATGATACAAAAGTTCAGCTTCTTTAAATCCTAGTTTGCAATATTTCATGAGAACATGTTTTATTCAGCAACACTAAAGGGAGTGAGATTTAGAAAAAAATAAATTGGTTCGTTTGCCTAGAGCAGCTGATGCATGGGATTGAGGGCAGGTATCATGATAACACTGATAACAATGTCAAATCTGGCAACAAGAAAACTACTGCGCTAGAGTCCTCTCTTTTGGATGTCTTCCCTTAAAATGTTCTTCCGAGGTGGACCAATACTTCTCAACAGGGTCGTTCCCTGTAAAAACTGAATTTTGTCTTTTGCTTTGCTCTTTTTCAGGAAGACCTAACTCTAAAACAATTGCATGCGATATTGACAGCTGTCAGTTTGAAAAGTCACATTATAGAAGCTTAAGGTACATGTGCCAAGACTTGCGGGCACTTGCAGAGCCTGAAAACCACGCATGCTCAGCAAGGTTGCAAACAACTATTCTTGCATTCCTAATGTCATGTTTCGGACTAACGGGCACGAAAATTACGATCAAAGATTGCAGTTGAGAACAAAAGACAACAAAAGGCGACGAAGTGGTGTCGACTCTACACTTTTGTCATCTGCTACTAGGGGAATTACCTTCTCAGTTCAGAAATGTTGTTGATTAAACTTGAGCTCCGAAAGAACAAAATGTGACAATTAAATACAACTTAACAAATAACGAAAACAGCTTTTGTCACGTTATGGGGAATTTCAAGCAAACACCTTAATGGATAGGTACAAATTGGGGGTGTCGAAGCTAAGTGCTTTTAATTTGCTTAATAATCGTTCATTGTTTTAAGCCATTACATACTACTTAACTGTAGCAATACAATATCACTATCGGTTACCTAAAATAACCACTTTCTCACTAACTAACGGCTTGTTTTTTTGAAATAAGTCGGAAAGCATTAAGAAATTGGTCTTCAGAAATAACACCAAATTAAACTTGACTTCCAAAAGAACGAAGACGTGACTTTTAAAAGCGACTGAACATAAACGTTCCGAAACATTGTCAAAATACTTTGACATTTCAGGCAACCACGACAATCATGACACGCATATTAGTATTGAAATAGTGATTTAAAATTATCGTTTTAAATCGTTAGAAAATTGACTTTCGAAGATGACCACCAAGGCATATCGGGGATAACAACGAATCGCGTAAAAAAGAGTTTTAATAAGTTTTATTTGCGGAAGTTTAAAAAACCTTAAATTGATCTGATACCTTGTGTGTTCCAAGAGCCGTCCTAATTGTTGAAAAATAGAAATGACCGCAGTTAATTGAAAAAAGTTTTATTGAAGCAGCTTAGTTTACAATTGTCAAGACATACCTGCAACCATTGAACTTGAAAACAGCGCATGCTTAGCTACATATACCTAGGGTAGTTTTATCATTGAGTGAGAATAACTGAAGCTTTGTGCTCTTGCTGAAATTTTGAGAAACGTAAGACCAGCCACGAAGGGTGCCTAGCTAGGGCTAGCAACATTTTTACATTAACAGTGATTGGAAGCAAAAGACGACAAAAGTCGACATAGTGGGGTTGACTAAATATGTTATCATCTGCTCCCAGGGGAATTACCCTCGGGCAAAGTTTAAGTTTGGTCTTTAAAAATTCTGCAAATAAAACTTATTAAACGCCTTGATGGACGAGTTGTAGTTTTTCTTGATATATTCTTTTCAAACAACTTATTCCCTCCAGCTGGTCATTTCCGAAAGCCAATTCCTTGACATTTTCCGCTTTCTTTCAAAGAACGAAGTCGCTAGTTACTTGGGAAATGGTTATTTTAGGTAGCCAGTAGTGATACCTAAATGCTCCAGATAAGTCGTATGTAATGGCTACAAACAATATATGTGGTAATGAGGTAAATTGAGCACCATTTCGATGCCAATTTGGGCGTATTAATTAACGTGTTTGCCTGTAACTTCACACACCGTGTAGTTGTGACAAGAACCGTTTTCGTTTACCGCTCGTGAGAAAAAGTTTTGCCAGGAGGCACAACGACTACAACAGCTGCATGGTGTGTGCTGATTGACCGGAGGTACATCCTCTTGGGAGAGTCGGGGCCATCCTCCCTCGGATAAATTTTGAAAAACAAGAAGCACCGCAACACTATTGGACACATTTTGGAACACTTTTGAGATACGATTTGTTGTCATTTTCAGGCCGTTTTTGAACACTATTATCGCATTGAGGCACAAAGAACATTAAAGCTACTCGCGATCACGTGCGTCATTTTATGCCCAAGCGTTAGGCTACGTCTGTTTAAACAACTGTACTGAATTGGAGTAACTGAGTAACATACAAGACAATGGCTCTTTCAAGCGAGAGTACATCATCTCACCGAAGATCCTGGGATTGCAAAGCGATATGACCATAGTAGCCGTCCTGTGACACTCTTCCATACGGTTATGATAAACAGTTAGCTAACTATTCAAGGTAGATCCGACTCAGAAAGGTGTTTGACGTAGTTTTCCCTTCCCTCCATCTCCCCCCTACTCCTACGGTCCTACCACGTTTCGTCCTTTGGAGAGCACGTTATACCCAAGGATAATTTCCTGATAACAGGTGATAAACATACTTAGTCAACCCCACTTCGTCGTTTTTTGTCGCTTTTTTTCTCCAATCATATTTTTAGCAAGAATGTTTTTTTTTGGTTTTTGTTTTTGTTTTTTTTGGTTTTTTGTTTTTTTTTGTTTCTTGGTTTTTGTTTTTTGTTTTTTTGTTTTTTTGTTTTTTTTTTTTTCACGTTGCCTTAAAGTTGATATTAGGAATGTAGGAATGGTTGTTAGTCTTAGCTTGGCACTTTTTCTGGCTGGTCTCACGTTCCTCAAAATTTCCTCCGTCGTTATCTTCGAAGGTCATTTCCTAACGGTTTGCCGAGCGATAATTTCAAAGCATTAATTTGAAACCAATTTGTTTCAGGTAATTATCATGTTTGCCTGAAATGTCAGTCACTGTAATGTGACAATATTTGTGAACGTTTTATGTTTTGTCGTGTTTTAAAAGTCACGTTTCGTCCTTTTGGAACTCAGGTTTAATATGGTGGCCATTTCTGAAGACCAATTTCTTAACGCTTTTCGATTTATTTCAGAAAAGCAAGCAGTTAGTTCGTGAGAAAGTGGTTAAATCAGGTGACAAGTTATGATACCTTATTGCTACATACGAGTAATGTGTAGTAGCTTAAAACAATGAACGATTATCAAGCAAATTAAGCTCTTAGTTTCGATATCGCCAATTTGAACCTATCCATTAAGGTGTTTACTTGAAATTCACTATAATGTGACAATAGCTTTTTCGTTATTTGTGAAGTTGCTGTTAATTGTCACGTTTTGCTCTTTTGGAGCTCAAGTTTAATCAACAACATTCCTGAACTGAAAAGGTAATTCCCCTAGAGGCAGTGGCAAACTTGCCAAGTTCATCCGCCTTCGTCGCCTTTTGTCGTCTTTTGTTCCCAACTGTAATCTTTGATCGTAATTTTCG